CAATAATTAAATAAGCACATTACAATATGTGAAAACATGAGTCAATTTTACCCCGACCGGGACCTTTTTTTTTTTAAGAGTGTGACACCGGGACAAGCAGAAACTGCCCTCATCAATAAAGACCCGAGCACGAGAAAATACCAAGACGAAGGAAAAGAAAAAGGTTAAGGGCAAAGCAGAGATGAGGTATTGTCACACAAAGGAAAACGACAGACAGAAAAAACAGTCAAAGTACAGAGGACCCAGAGATATGGAGGACTAGGCCCTGAGATGACAATAGATCTGCTCTTTGAAGGATGAATGGTCATAAGAATTAGGAAAGACAGAAGGAGAAAGAGAGTTCCAGAGTCTGGAGGTAGATGGGAAGAAGCAATCACTGCACCGACCAATCCGTGAGCTACAAATCTCCACACAGTACCTGTGAGATGAGGCCGCTTGGCGAGTGTTATGCGGCCTCGGCAGTGGAGGAGGGATGCAACTCGCCAACTCATCAGAGCAGCGATGGAAATAGTAGCGATAGAAAAGAGCATGGGATGATACCTTATGGCAAAGAGAGAGAGAACCTAGGTTAGAAGTTAGAGAAGGATCATTAATGAGTCTGACTGCCTTAGATTCAACCCTATCAAAAAGATAAGTAAATGAAGAAGCACCCCAGATGTGTGAGCAGTATTCTAAGGAGGGGCAAATAAGATCTTTGTAAACTTTAAGTAATTGCAATGAGGAAAAGTTATGACAAAAACGAAAGAAAACCCCCAATTTTTTGGATGAAGATTTAGAAATTTGGATTATGTGATTCCTCCAAGACAAGTTAGAGGCAATATGGATTCCTTATATGTTGATAGAGTTAAGAGGGTAAATTTTATTAGTTTCGAAGACAATAGGGTTATCAGGAGAAGAAGAAGATAAAGAGATAGCCAGAAACTGTGTCTTGGAGGCATGGAATTTAACTAAATTTTGAGTGCCCCATTCAGATACTCTCTGCAAATCAGAGTTAAGAGTAGAAGAAAGAGTGATACGAGATTGATTACGAGTAACAGATGAAGGTTGTGAAGAAAAGGCAGAGGAAAAGTGAAGGGTAGAATCATCAGTAAAGACATGAAGAAGAGAGGAAGATTGGGATTGTAGAAGATCATTGATGAAGAGAAGGAAGAGAGTAGGTGAAAGAACAGAGCCCTGTGGAACACCACTGGTAAGAGAGAACGGGCTAGATGTCACGCCATCAAAACCTACAGATATAGAACGGTCAGTAAGAAAACTGGAAATCAGAGAACAGAAAGAAGGGATAAAGCCATAGGCAGGGAGTTTGGCCAACAGAGCCTTGTGCCAGACTCTGTCAAAAGCCTTAGTGATATCAAGGGCAATGACAAAGGATTTCCATAGTTCTTCAGAGAAGATGACCATACATGAGTAAGATAGGACAGGAGATCACCAGTGGATCTTGCCTTGTGGAAACCGCACTGGTGATCAGAGATAAGTGAGTTAGATTCAAGGCGTTTCAAGAAGTGAGCATTGAGCAAAGTTTCGAAAACTTTAGCAATAGAGGAGGTTAGAGCAATAGGTCGGTAGTTAAAAGGAATAGAGCGGTCACCCTTCTTAGGAACAGGTTGAACTAGAGCATGCTCCCAAGATGAAGGATAGATACTGGTTGACAGAATGAGGTGAAAAAGACGGCAAAGCACAGGAGCCAGTACATCTGCAAACTCCTTAAGGAACCTTGAAGGGATACCTTCGGGACCAGATGCCTTATTCGTCTTTAGTGAGCGAAGAACCTAATGAACCTTGCGTGAAGAAAGGATAAGGGAGGGCATAGGGTTAGAGAGGGGAAAAAACTGAGGAACAGGTGCACTGGAATTGTTGAGGGAAGAGTTGGCAGAGAAATGAGAGCCAAAGAGAGCGGCTTTGTCAGTGGGAGAGCAAGCTATAGAACCATCAGAATGAATGAGAGGGGGAAAGCTTGAGCTATAGAAGTTTTTGGAGAGGATTTTGGCTAAGGACCAGAAGCATTTGTCAGTTGGAGAGGAGTTAAGGTCATCAACTTTCCCTCTTATAAAGGAAGCCTTACACCTTCGAATCTGAGCAGTACATCGATTCCTAGCTATAACAAAAGCAGAGCGAGTTAAATCGGAAGTAGAGGCTAGGTAAGATTGGCGAGCTTGATTCCTAGTCTGGATAGCCATGGAGCAGGCACGGTCAAACCAAGGTTTAGGGGGAGAGAAAGTTTTTGTAGAAGAGGGGATGTACGCCTCCATTCCGCGATCATGATCTCGGCAACTTTTAGAGCTACCTGATCAGGGTTGCGGAACCGAAAGCAGTAGTCATCCCATGGAAAGTCAAAGAGAAAGTTACGCAAATTTTCATGTTGGGTACGCTCGAAGTGCCAAAGGCGGCGCTGAGTAGGAGGGATTGGTGGTGGGGGAGCAAAACTGGAAGAGACTGAGATCACCGAGTGGTCAGATTTACCAAAAGGGGAAAGCACAGAATAAGAGTAGTTTGAAGGGTTAGAAGTAAAAAATAGGTCAAAAGTGTTTGCAGCATGTTTGTGACGATTAGGAACGCGAGTAGGATGTTTGATAATTTTCTCCAAATCATGAGTAATAGAGAAAGTAAGGGCCTCGCTTCCTCTCACATCAGTGTGAGAAGAATGAAGCCACTCACTGTGGTGTACATTGAAGTCTCCAATGTAGAGAACTTCGGCATGTGGGTGAGAAGATAGCAAGGACTCATGGCACAAGGATAGATTTTCAAATAAAGACACAAACTCGGTGGAGTTTGGAGAACAGTAGCAGAAGCAAAGGAAGATAGCGGTAATGGAGAGATAGACTTTTAGCCAGAGAACATCAAAGTCAGGAGATTTAAGGTCCATGTGCCTCACAGTAGGAGTGTTAGTGTTGCAGTATGCACAGACCCCACCTTTGGAACGAAAATGAGTATACAGATAATAGTGAGAGATTTGGAATGGGTCAGTGGAAGCATGTATAGACAGCTGAGTTTCAGATAGGAAGAGGATGTTAGGGAGGAAAGTTCCCAAGTGCTGTTCCACAGACAAAAGATTAAAGTTCAGCCCACGAATGTTAGAATAGTGAAGAGTGAAAGAAGCAGATCTATTGGGAGGTGCAAGGTTAAGAGCAGAAACATTACTACCACCAGGCGTGTCTGCCCTCAAGCCAATGGTGGAGTCAACACGATCCCCGGAGATTCTTCGCACCCCACTATGCCGGGTACTGGGGACCATTAGTTGTGTACCTTCCATAAAGAATAACAAATGTGAGGAAAAAGAAAGTAAAAGAGACAGATGTGCAGAATATTGTGACTTGTCAAATGTAATGGAATAGCAAGAGATGTGTAATGAATACACCAGAATATTCAGTGAAGATGTAGGCATGAGGAAAGAACCATCCTGAAGGAAGACTCAACCTGGAACTGTCTGTACCAGTCCTAGTTGCATCCTAATACCTTCAGTCATAGTCTTTCAATGGGCAGCTGGTGCCATGGCCAACCTACTAATCATAATTGCTGTGCCAAGGTGTTACCAACTACACTGCAGAAGGTCTTAAAATGGAAACAGACCCTATAGCATTTATCTGCTATACTAGGAATGAACGCATTCTATCTGAATGCCACTTTGTTCATATTAAAGTTCCCCCAACTACCATATGTGAAAACATGAATCATTTTTACCCCGACCGGGTCTTGAACCTAGGACACATAATTCCTGTGCCAAGGTGCTACCATCTACACCACAGAAGGTCTTAAAAGGGAAACAGACCTTATAGCTTTTATCTGCTATACGAGGAATGAACACATTCTATCTGAATGCCACTCTGTTCATATTACAGTTTCCCCCAACATCACACGTGGCTTCGTTTTCCCATTTGATTCAACTTCCAATCTCATTTGGGACCAACAATAATCAAATAAGCACATCACCATATGTGAAAATATGATTAATTTTTACCCCGACCGGAACTTGAACCTAGGACACATAAATACTGTGCCAAAGCACTACCAACTACACCAGAGAAGGGCTTAAAAGGAAACAGACCTCATAGCTCTTGTTTGCTGTACTAGTAATGAATACATTACTAGTTTCCCCCAACCTCACATGTGGCTTTGATTTCGCATTTAATTCACTCCCAGTTTCATTCGAGACTAACAAATATTAAATAAGTACATTACCATATGTGAAAAAATTAATCATTTTTACCCCGATTGGGTGTTGAGCTTAGGACACATAATTACTGCGCCAAGGCACTACACACTACACTACAGAAGGTCTTAAAAGGGAAACAGACCACATAGCTTTTATCTGCTATACTAGGAATGAGTGCATTCTATCAGAATGCCACTCTGTTCATATTAAAGTTTCCTCAACCTCTCTCGTGGTTTCGTTTTTGCATTTATTTCAAATCTCAATCTCACTCGGGACCAACAATAATCAAATAAGCACATTGCCATATGTTAAAGCATGATTAATTTTTACCCCGAGCAGGACTTGAACCAAGGACAAATAATTACTGTGCCAAGGGTCTACCAACTACACCGCAGAAGGTCTTAAAGTACAAACAGACCTTATAGCTTTTATCTGCTATACCAGGAATAAACGCATTCTATCTGAATGCCACTCTGTTCATATTACAGTTTCCCCAGCCTTACTCATAGCTTCGTGTTTGCATTAACTTCAACTTCCAATCTCATTCAGGATATATTAAAACAGGAGTAATTTTTACCCTGATCGGGACTTGAACCTAGGACACAAAATTATAGTGCCAAGGTGCTACTAACTACACCACAAAAGGTCTTAAAAGGGAAACATAACTTATAGCTTTTATCTGCTATACTAGACATGAACGGATTCTATCTGAATGCCACTTTGTTCATATTAGAATTTCCCCAACCTCACTCGTGGCTTCGATATTGCATTTAATTAAACTCTCAATCTCATTCGAGATCAACAATAATCAAATAATCACATTACCATATATTAAAACATGAATCATTTTTACCCCAACCTGGGCTTGAACCAAGGACACATAATTTCTGTACCAAGGCGCTACCAACTACACCACAGAAGGTCTTAGAAGGGAAACAGACCTTATAGGTTTTATCTGCTATACTAGGAATGACTGCATTCTTTCTGAATGCCACTCTGTTCATATTACAGTTCCCCCAAGCTCACTCGTGGTTTCGTTTTTGCTTTTTATTTAACTCCCAATCTCATTCGGGACCAACAATAATCAAGTAAGCACATTATCATATGTGAAAACATGCATAATTTTAAACCCTTCTGTGCTTATTTGATTATTGCTGTTCCCGAATGAGATTGGGAGCTGAAATAAATGCGAAAACGAACCCACGAGTGAGGTTGGGGGAAACTATAATATGAACAGAGTGGCATTCTAATGGAATGCATTAATTCTTAGTATAGCAGATAAAGGCTATAAGGTCTATTTCCCTTTTAAGACCTTCTGTGGTGTAGTTGATAGCGCCTTGGCACAGTAATTATGTGTCCCACTTTCAAGTCCTGGTCAGGGTAAAAATGATTCATATATATATATATATATATATATATATATATATATATATATATATATATATATATATATATATATATATATATATATATATATATATATATATATATATATATATATATATATATATATATATATATATATGGATGGATGGAGTAAGGAGAGCCCTGAATGATAGGAGGATGGATGTGAGGGAAGCAAGCGAGCATGCTAGGAATAGGAATGAGTGGCGAGCGATTGTGACGCGGCTCTGATGGGCATCTGCTGTTACCACGGGGCTGCATCTTACAGAGGTAGCCCTGTAGTAGGGGCAGTAGTAGGAGCTGGCAGTTGTGAAGCGACACAGGTTGTGGAAGAGCCGGGAGGATGGGCTGTGGCACTCCAGCAGTGCCATCTGAACGGTCGCTAGCTCCCTCGTCATTGCCCATAGAGCAAAGTAATTCCCCTATTTGTTTTCCTTTCTTGATGTCGGCTACCCCGCAATTAAAGGGGGAAACAGCCAAGGTAAATGAATAAATGAAATATATATATATATATATATATATATATATATATATATATATATATATATATATATATATATATATATATATATATATATATATATATATATATATATATATATATATATATATATATAAATCATATTTTACTCCGACTGGGACTCGAAGGTAGGACACATAGTTACTGTGCCAAGGTGCTACCCACAACACCACAGAAGGTCTAAAAGAGCAATCAACCTTATAGCTTTACTGCTATACTAGGAATGAATGCATTCTATCATGAAGGCATTTTTAATCATATTACTGTTTCTCCCAACCTTACTTTGGCTTCTTTTTGCATTCAATTTAAATCCCAATGTAAATGGGCATCAGGAATAATCAAATAACCACATAACCATATGTAAAACATGAATCATATTTTTCCCCGCCCAGGAATCGAACCTAGGACACATAATTACTGTGCGTAGGAGCTACCAAATACACCACAGAAGGTCTATAAGAGAAACCAACCTTAAAGCTTAACTTCTTTGCTAGGAATTAATGCATTCTCTTTGAATGCCATTTTATTTATATTTTATCCCAACCTCACTTGTGGCTTCGTTTTCGCATTTAAATCAAATCCCAATCTAACTGAGCATCAACAATAATAAAAACAAGCACAATAAAATATGTGTAAACATGAATCATATTTTACCACAACTGGGACTCGACTCTAGGACACATAATTACTGTGCCATGGCACTACCAACTACACCACAGAAGGTCTTAAAAGGGAAACAGACTTTATAGCTTTTATCTGCTATATTAGGAATGAAAGCATTCAATCTTTGGTGTAGTTGGTAGCGCCTTGGCACAGTAGCAATGCGTACTAGGTTCAAGTCCCGTTCGGGGTAGAAAGGATTCATGTTTTTACATATGGTAATGTGCTTGCATGATTATTATTGGTCCCGAATGAGATTGGGACTTGAATGCAATGCGAAAACGAAGTCACGAGTGAGGTTGGGGGAAACTGTAATATGAAGAGAGTGGCATTCAGATAGAACGCATTCATTCCTAGTATAGCAGATAAAAGCTAAAAGGTCTTTTTCCCTTTTAAGACATTCTGTGGTTTAGATGGTAGCACCTTGGCACAGTAATTATGTGTGCCACATTCAAGTCCTGGTCGGGGTAAAAATGATTCATATATATATATATATATATATATATATATATATATATATATATATATATATATATATATATATATATATATATATATATATATATATATATATATATATATATATATATATATATATATATATATATATATATATATATATATATATATATATATATATATATATATATATATATATATATATATATATATATATATATCAAATAAGCACATTACATATGTGAAAACATGAATAATTTTTTTTTTTTTACCCCGACCGGGACTCGAACCTAGGACTTATGATTACTAAGTCAAGGCGCTACCACTACACCACAGAAGGTTAAAAGGAATCCAACCTTATAGCTTATATCTGCTATACTTAGGAATGAACGCATTCTAACTGAATGCCACTATGTTCATATTACAGATTCCCCAACCTCACTCGTGGCTTCATTTTAGCATTTAATTCAATTCCCAATCTCATTCGGGCATGAAATATCAAATAAGCACATTACATATGTGAAAACATGAATAATTTTTTTACCCCGACCGGGACTCGAACCTAGGACTTATGATTACTAAGTAAAAAAAAAAAAAAAAAAAAAAAAAAAAAAAAATTATTCATATATATATATATATATATATATATATATATATATATATATATATATATATATATATATATATATATATATATATATATATATATATATATATATATGTATGTATGTATGTATGTATGTATGTATGTATGTATGTATGATGTATGTATGTATGTATGTATATATATATATATATATATATATATATATATATATATATATATATATATATATATATATATATATATATATATATATATATATATATATATATATATATATATATATATATATATATATATATATATATATATATATATATAATATTTTACCCCGACTGGGACTCGAAGGTAGGACACATAATTACAGTGCCAAGGAGCTACCCACAACACCACAGAAGGTCTAAAAGAGAAACCAACCTTATAGCTTTACTGATATACTAGGAATTAATGTATTCTATCATGAATGCATTTTTATTCATATTTCTGTTTCTCCCAACCTTACTTTGGCTTCTTTTTGCATTCAATTTAAATCCCACTGTTAAAGGGCATCAAAAATATTCAAATAACCACATTGCCATATGCAAAACATGAATCATATTTTTCTCCGCCCAGGACTCGAACCTAGGACACATAATTACTGTGCCAAGGAGCTACCAACTACACCACAGAAGGTCTATACGAGAAACCAACCTTAAAGCTTAACTTCTTTACTACGAATTAAGGCATTCTCTTTGAATGCCATTTTATTCATATTATATTTTATCCCAAACTCACTTGTTGCTTCGTTTTCGCATTTAAATCAAATCCCAATCGAACTGAGCATCAACAATAATTTAAAAAAACGCACATTGAAATATGTGAAAACATGAGACATATTTTACCCCAACTGGGCCTCTACCCTAGGATACATAATTACTGTGCTAAGGCACTACCAACTACACCACAGAAGGTCTTATTTGATTGGGATTTGAAGTAAATGCAAAAACGAAGCTATGAGTGAGCCTGGGGGAAACTGTAATGGGAACAGAGTGGTATTCAGATAGAATGCGTTCATTCCTAGTATAGCAGATAAAGCTGTAAGGTCTGTTTCCCTATGATGACCTTCTCAGGTGTAGTTCGTAGCCCCTTGGCACAGTAATTATGTGTCCTTGGATCAAGTTCCGGTCATAAATGTCGACTAAATGGGGAAGAGCAAGGGGACTGAGAATCCCCCCCTCTGTATTTACTTTCCACGAAAAGTCAAAGTATTTTCTTTGACTCAGCCACCCCACTTATAAGGAGGAATATTGCTATGGTATATATATATATATATATATATATATATATATATATATATATATATATATATATATATATATATATAATATATATATATATATATATATATATATATATATATATATATATATATATATGAATAATATTTTACCCCTGACCGGGATTCAAACCTAAGAAACATAATTTCTGTTCCAAGGCGCTGTCAACTAAATTACTGAAGATCCAAAGAAGAAGCATACCTTACAGCTTAGCTGCTTTACCAGGAAGCAATGCATTCTATCTAAATGTCGTTTTGCTAATATTACAAATTCTAACCTCACTCGTGGCTTAGTTTTTCTCATTTAAATCAAATCTCAGGTATACAGGCATAAATAATAATCAAATAAACACATTAACATATTTGAAAACATGAGTCATATTTTACCCCTGACTGGGAATCGAACCGAAGACACATAATTACTGTTTCAAGGCGCTACCAACTAGTCTAAAATAGAAACCAACCTTAAAACTTAATGTCTTTGCTAGGGATTAACGCATTCTGTGTGAATGCCTTTTTATTCGTATTACAGTTTCTCCCAACATCACTTGTGGCATTGCTTTTGCATTTAAATCCAACCCCAATCTAACTGGGCATCAATGATATTTAAAAAAGCACATTATCATATGTAAAAACATTAATCGTATTTTACCCCAGCTGGGACTCGAGCCTAGGACATATAATCACTGTGCCAATGCACTACTAACTATACCACAGAAGGTCTTACAACTTAACTGCTATACTAGGAATAAATAGAGTCTATTTGAATGCCTTTTTATTCATATTACAGTTTCTCCCAATCTCACTCATGGTTTTGTTTTTGCATTTAATTCAAATCCCAATCTAATTGGGCATCGACAATAATCAAATAAGCACATTATCATATGTGAAAATATGAATCATATTTTACCCCGACCAGGACTCGAAGCAAGGATACATAATTACTGTTCCAAGGTGCTAC